AAAAAAAAAAAAAAAAAGAATGGTCTCTTTTAGAGAAATGAAGGCGGCGGGGGTGGGGGGAAATAGTCTTGTCATTAAAACTCAACATTTTAAGAAAGCGTTATTTTTCAGATCTAGAGGATGACATCAGCACTGGAAATGACCCATCTTTGAGTTAGTTTGAGGAAGATGGAGACATGCCCTTTAAAAGAGAGCTTTTCAAATATAGTTCACAAAGTCCTAGGACCTTCAGTAAAGTTTCGAGAGTTTTCCCTTAAAAGCACGATCAACTCTGCATTGAAAACCAAATCAAGTTACACATGGCAAAGGAGTTGATTTCATTCAGGAACTGTGTTATGTCATGTCAGCTGGTCCCATCTTGACATGAATTAATATGTATATATGAGGGTACTGCAAAAAGATGGGGAAAATGGAATTAAAAGATGGTACAAATCTTTCCATGAACTTTCTGAAGTACTCTCATGTATTTTACATATATATACATATATATATATATATATTTTTTTTTTTGCAAAGAAGAGTCAAAGGTGGCCACCTTTTATGACTGTCTAGTTTCGTACTGCTTCTCTGCATCAATGAGTTCATCCACAGGCATTTATGGAGCTCCTTTTGTATGCAAATCTTCATGATCAGCATTATGGGAAACCCTCTGAAGCCAGAGTTCTGGTCTAAAAGGAGTTTATGCTCTAATTGTTTAAAAATTAGTCCTTTTGTGGGAACTGTTTGAAAGCTTATGTTTGCTGGAGAGTGTTCAGAAGGCTGTCTCACTCACTGGTCATTTTGGTATCATCAGATGGACATAAGCACAGATTATGGTGTTAGTATTCTTTCAAATAAGCAAAATTGAAAAGTTATTGGATCTTGTAAACTGAAAAAGTCCAGAGGTAAATTTTGTTTAGCATCACTAGATCTGGGGACTTAAAGGCTCTGACTCTCTCCTGTGGTGGGCCAGATGGCTGCAGGCAGAGCACAACTCCTGACGTCCTAGCTCAGCAACCCCAGAGGAGAGAGGATCTGAGAGTATGGTTATTAGAAAGCTCTCAGGGAAGATTCTGATTGGCTCAACCTGGGACACGTTTCTATTTCTGATCTAATCACTGGACACAAGGCGCTGGAGCACTCTGGTAAGGCCCAGTCCTGTGCCTGATGGACTGTCTTGTGTGGCCAGGCAAGCAGGGGCCAGTTCCATCCATATTTATTTCATCTTCTGTTATCAGAAGAAGGAGGAAGGAAGAAGCAAGAGATGGCCATCATGGCTGATTTATTCCTAGCAGGGTGGTGGTGGTGGGTGCCATGGTGCAAAGAGGACTAGATCTGCTTGCAAGTTGGGGGAAGGGCCAGGCGTGCAGATTCCTGTGCAGGTGGTGAGAAAGTGCATTGGACAGGTAGGCAGTGTCCAGAGGGCAAGCCCTCCTTTGTACCATCCTCTTGGCCTGGACTCATCTCCATTTTAGCATTGCAATGGCTTCTTTTCATCTCTGTATCTACATCTCACACCAGGTCCTGAGAAATCAGACCAAGTAAGTCATTATGAGTGACAGTTTTGGAGTCAGACCAACCAAAAGCTGAGTCCTGGCTCTGCCGCTTTTTAGCTGTGCAACCTTGGGCAAGCTGCTCAACCCTTCCAAGCCTCTGGCCCTCCCTCATCTGCTAAGTGGAATAATAGTTGCACTTACCTTAAAGGTTTACATTTGATAATGTACGTAAGTGACTTTGGGCAGTATTTGACAAACAGAAAGTGCTCCATAAATGCTAGCTGCTGTTGACAAAACAATACATGAGAGCAGGGTCTCATTCAGCTTTGCGTCTTTAGTGCCTAGTTGAGGCTGGTATCTACTTGGTATTCAGTAAATGCTTGTGTAAATTGAATCAAAGCTAGTGAGGAATTGACCACCGAGACACAGGAGGAGATAGGGAAGGCAGGAGGATGGGTTCAGGGGGTGCTGTGAATCCACGTGGCGGTGGCATCAGGGTCCACTGGGGTGGCTCTCAAGTGGCAGATGCTAGAAGTGGGCTTGTTAAAAAGGCCTCTCAGATGTTCTGATTCATCAGGTCTAGGACTGCCATCCTTAATGAGCACCAGGGGATGCAGATGGCCACCCCTGCCCCTGAGGGACCCTACTGGGTTTGGGGTCATAAACTCACATGCCTCCATGGGCCAGATGGGTGACGTGGCCAGGTAGAGGGAGATGCTAGGCCCTGTGGCCAGCTGGAGAGCACCAGCCCCATATGAAGGGGCTGCCATGCTTGAAACAGGTGCTCAGTATGGCTGGGTCTTCTCATGTCTCCAGAGAAGCTGAAAAACAGGACTTCTACGGGAAATTTCCTGATTTTTAAATGCTGCAGGAAAGTATTTAGATTTTCTGAAAGAACAAAATGTCCAAAAACCCCACATAAGCAGGCCAGAGCAGCTGCCACTTGGAGGCTTTGGTGTAAGGCAGTATTTCTCACCAGGAGATGATTTTGTCCCCCAGGGAACATTTGGCACTGTCTGGAGGTAATTTGGGTTGTCATAACTTGGGGTTGGGGTTAGTGAACGCTACCAACAGCTAGTGGGTAGAGGCCAGGGGTACCCTTGACATCCCACAATGCGCTGGACAGCCCTTTACAGCAAAGAATGATCTGGCCCAAAGGGAATTTAACTGCTGTTAGCTGTGGGCAGAAGAAAGAGGCAAAGGAACCAGGCAGGGTGAGGGACACCTGCCCTCAAGGTGGCCAGCACTTTAAGCTGGTTAGCCTCATTTTACAGGCTTATTTGGGTCTGAAAGACAGAGCTGTTTCTTTTTAACCCCGAGGAAGCACAGCTGCCATGACTGAGCCCTCCTGGGCCTGATGTCAGTGATTCCCATAGTCCACACACTTCCTGTGCATGTCGGAAGCAGCCTGCCACCCCTGACCTCTGCAGGCATGAGAGCAACGTGAAGAATGGGGACAGCCGGTGTTCCTGTGTTGCCACTTGGCACCCAAGGGCTAGGTGTGGTGGTCTGCTAGAGAGCGTCAGGGTTTGGCCTCCTGTTCCTGGTGGAATGTTTGGTTTGGGTTCTTCATTCAGTAGTTTTTAGAACTATACTTGAGGATATTACCCTTCCCAACCAACCCCAATCATAACAGAGTAATGCCTTTGCGTTGTATGCAATTAATTCCGTAACTATGTGCTGGGCACCTCCTCCATGGCCTGCCCTGGGCTTGGTGCTGAGGTGGGGGAGCAGAGACTCAGGTGGGCTCCATCTGGTGGCTGATAGTCCTGGTGAGGAAACACAAGAACCAGATCTCCAGCCCTTCCCCATCCAATCCCTGCTCCGTACACTGGTGTTGCCATCTTCCTGAGCCACAGCCCTCATCATCATAAACCCCTGCTCAGACACCTTCCGTGGCTCCCACTTTTGCTCTGAATGAAGCCTGTGCTCCTCTCGCCTCTGTGCTCTGGCCCCACATCCGTTCCAAGCTCATGTCCCAGCCCTCCGCTGCTGCGCTTCTTTGCAAACCTGTGCTGCTCCTGTTCCCTCTCTGGAACACACACACTGACAGTGTGGAACTGCCGTCCTGTCAGGATCTGGGCAGAGGAGGGCTGAACTGAAATTGGGGGTCAAACCAAGGGTTAAGGCATCAGTGGTGACTAGGCCCTGAAAGCCAAGAAGTCAATGTCCACATGGGTGCCAGCTGCTGAGTCCTAGTCAAGACAGGCCTTCAGGAAGCCAGAGGGTGCTGACTTGCTAGTAGAGGGCATTTCCTGGGTGACCTGAGAATTACCATTTACTCTCACAAAAAATTGAGATGGTAGATCATTGTTTCTCAAACTGTGTCCTATGGAACCCCACTCTCATGAGATGTTAATGAGTATTGAGGAAGGAACCCATACTCTGGTCATACCAGCTCAGGACACACAGAATTAAAGATTTGTGGGGCTTCCCAGAGTCTTTAATATGCTAATGTCACTGTGAGTCACTAGGGTAGAGAAGTGATGTGTAGAGTTTCTCACATTTTATGACCAGGGAATTCCTTTTGCAAGGAGCTTCTCTCTGTGGATTTGCTGCATGGACATAAGTTGAGGAATTCAGGTCTAGACCGATGAGTTTTATGCTGATTTCTGCACCGCTTCCCATCCCACCCCGAACAGTCCTGACCTTTTTGTGTTGAAAAGAAATTAGTAAATGCAACCAGCAAACTTCCCCTCTTCTGACATTTCTTCTTCCATATTCCAGAGCAAGGAGATTGGTCTGCAGATGCATGAGGAGCTCCTGAAGGTGACCAACGAGCTCTACACAGTAAGTTCTGCCCAGACTCGCTGCCCTTTGGGATTGGGTCCCCTTTCTTCAGCTCCTGGAGCTGGAGGCAGGCAAATCAGAGGTCTGGGCTGGCCATGGGCCTTTTGGCTGTGTTTGGTGCTGGAGTGACATCATGGCAGGATGTAATGACTCTCAATCCCAGTCTTCTGATTCTTTACATCTGGGGTGGGGCCCTGACATGTTTAGTTTACAAAAGCTCATGAGAGACTCGAATGACTTGCCAGCTGTGGGATGTGTTACCTATGAAAGCAAAGGACACAGAACCGAGGCTGGGGAGTGTGGTGTGAAGGCTCCTGAAGGCGGGAGTGGGGGTTTTCGAGTCAGGTGGCACAGGCTCAAGTTGAGGCCCACTACTTACCAACTGTG